AACCAAAAACACACTTCTTTGGAGACATTCTTCCCGAGCGAGTCCCGTGCAGCGCTGCCGCCGGATGAAGAGCATTGATGGGTGCGATCTCGCTCTTGCTCTGGTCAATGAGTGCGCGGGCGCGTTCTTCCGGGAGAAATGCCCATATAAGGAGTTCCGCCCTCGTTTACGTCATTAATCTTGAGCCACGATCGAAAAAATACTCTCCAAAACTTGTACGAACCCGGAAGTAAGATTTTTGGCACAGAATTACTCTGTCATACATCCAAATAGTTTTTTTAGAATTCATTTTAAAACAGGATGTTTGATTATGTAATAAATAAATATGAGATATTAATATTATAATTTCTATCCGTTTAGTATTGATGATCAGTTCTATAAAATAGTATACATTTTTTTTTATTACAATTATTTTTGTTTAATGTCTTAACTGCTATGAATGAATAACAAATAAATTAATTCAGGAATACATTTTGTGATATAAATTTTTGAATAACAAACCATGGGGCCGTGTTTTTTTCTATCTATCAAAAAATGTAGCACTTTTTTATATCAAATAAAAATTTGTATAAAATTTTGTAAGATTGCATACATTTTCTTCTAAACTTATTTAGCTATTCATGATTATTCCCTTTTTATTTGCATATTTTAATGTATTTATTTACTTAATTTTATTTATTTAGTTCATTTTTGATTTTGGCAGAGCTGTCACTCCATAATTAAACATTCTCAGTATAAGATGTTACTTTGGTCATGGCAGTGTTGTGCATGGTGTTATTGTATTGAAGAAATAAAAAAAAAAATATATATATATATATAAATATTAGATGAAAATGAGAAATGTTGCCTTGGCAACAAACTGAAATAAGCTTAAGTACTACAATTACTAAAACCAATAAAAATTAAAATAAATTAAAGATAGAAATATAAAAAACTAATATTTGAATGTATTTAATTTATTACATATTTTCTTGTTGGTATTGGATTTTCCAGAGTTGTCACTTATAAACTGTGAGTGTCAGAGATGTTAATTGGTCGTGACTCGTGGCGGAGCGTGTGACACAGGAGGTGATAAATGCGACGGCGGTCGCGGGGATTGGCTGCAGTCTTGCAGGCCGCACATCGACAGAGAGAGCACTGGAGGATCCTCAATCAACAGCATGGGCAAAGTGCACTTTTATGCCGTCTGGTCTTTACGTGAAGCACCTCGACAATTTATACGGTGGGCGCTTTCATTTGAGCTAACGTTACTTCACTGTATGACCTGATATTAGGCCTATTGTTTTACTTAACAAAACATGTAAGAGTTTGTTGTCACACAGTCACTTTCAAGGAATGAGTGTATCTCAGGATAGAAATCTCTTGGCTACGAAAAAGTAGCTGAACATTGCCATCATTATTGCCAAAGAAAAACATGCTGATTAATGACATTGATTTGAGGAGAATATGTGAATCCGTGTATCATTCGATCATTTGTTTTTTGATTTAATATTGGAAGTAGAAAAATGAGAAAACGGCTCCTTTTAAGTTTTTTTTCCAAAAAACGAAAAATGAGAATTCAGCTTAAGTTTTAATTTTTCGTTCATGGGTGGAAAAATGAATAAACAACTTGAATATTCGATTTCTACATGTGGACGGGAATTAAACTCCCCTTTCTGCTGATTGGTCAGCCGAAGATCAAACCGTGCCGTCATCAGTTCTTCTGCAGTATCACGCAGCAGAATAATAGTCCTCTGCTGCTGCAGTTGTATGGATTCTTAACACATTTATTGCAACTACATTTAATCTTTTTTCATCAAACAAACAGGCTAATGAATAGCTCGACACAACTCATACTGAGGCAGAGTCTAGACAGGGCTTTCTTCTGTGTAGATATAAATTCTATTCTTTGCATCAGCTGGGCATGGCAGGGTATGATATGACAGCTGTCATAGCCTACCCTGCTCACCCAGTAAGTCTGTTTGTTTGTTTAATTAAGAAATTAATTAATTAATTCGTTTCAAAATAAATATTTTAAACACTAAGACAAAAAAGAAGGAATAATAAATTGGCTTGGGTATATACAGGCCTATAATGTTCAGGCAAGAACTGTCATTTTGACTGACAACC